GAACTTTGAATAGAAATAGGAATGCTCTTTTCCCTGTCTCAGTAGGGAAAAAGTTTAATGTTTACCATTAGTTAGAGATAAACCTGGAATCTACTGGCACTATGGACATTTTGGCCAGATAATTCTAGAGAAAGGATTATAAACACAAAATTCAGGAAAACTGCATCAAAACAGTCCACTTCTGTTTACACAGCTGGTCTACTGCTGCATTTCTAATGTGTTTTTAAGCAAATATTCACTCCCAGTAGGTCCCTAAATTGGACCCAGACCAGTGTTTTGTCCCCATGGTCCATGGAAGAAACCACAGTTTATCTACTTTAAACTCTCAAGATGAAATTTCTCCCTGAATATTAGCATTTTCTGCTGTTAAAATGTCATATACATGGACAATTTCTCTTTTGGATAAACTTTTTTCAGATATTTCCTTCTTTCTCACTTCCCATCACCTGTGGGACTAATTCCAGGATCTTATATTCACTCATTTCAAAGTGAAGTGACTCAGAGACTGCATACCATGACTATTTTAGGTGGAGTATTTCCTCCTGAGTCACCCTGTCCCGTGGTACCAGGCATCCTGCGGATTTCCTCAGCTCTGCTGTGGAGAATAGGAAGCCAAGGCCAGAAGCAGCTGACAAGGACGGCATCCCAGCGGCTCCTCCCAGTTACTGGAGGGCCGGCAAGAAAATCTTGATTTAGTAAGAATTCTTTGGCAAATAATTAAGAGTTTACCAGAGGCAAATGGCTTCAAGAATGTTATTTGTGAGCAAACATATATTTTTCCAGAGGCAGATTAAAAGTGTTTTCCTAGCTATGAAGAAGAGAAAGAAATTACTCAACTCGCTTTTCCACAATTTTATCACGTTTTCCAGCCAGTAATATTCTCTTCATTCACTTCTGTCATTCTTCTGGATCAGTCTTCCAAATAGCAATTGGTCGTGTACTTCCTCACCAAGTCTTCATAACTACCTGTGACATGATACCATCAGTAGACACATCGTTTGGGGCTGAACAAAGACTAAGGAATACTAGCCATGCATGTTACTTTTCTGTGACCCCATCCCCACAGCAGACATCAGTAATCTATCTAGCTAATCTGTATCAATGATTCTGCTCCCCACAAACATTAACAAAACGTAATCTTAGCCACTGCTCTCCAAAGTGCAAAATATTGGCAATAAAAACATTTTTTAAAATCAAATCTCAATAAAGTTAAACCTCCTTAAAGCCTTGCAAGTATGTCTGGTAGAACACAGCTACTTCTGGGTTTCCTGGTAGCCAATGACCCCCTTCAGCGATTATTCTGCCCCCACGCCTTCTTTATTCTCATTTTGGTGCCTGTCAGAACCTCTATGAGAAGAGGTTTCACATTGAGGAAAACTAAGAGCCAAATCAAACATTTTCATTTATTTTAAAGCTCTGCTTAAAAATCATTGGGAAGGGGCATGGTGACTATTGGCTTAAGAAGTTATACATTTCAGTGCTGGATGATATTTTCATCTCCCACCTGCAGTTCAGTGCCCCTCAAGATTACTTTCTTTCATTCCTTGAAGAGTCTAGCACCTGGCTTTCTAAGTGTAGTCATTCTCTCCCAAACTGACATTGTCTAATTGTTGATTTTAGTATTCATTATAAATGATTGCTCCAATACACAGCCCTTTCCATTTCTTTTCGCCAGTCATCTTGTCCTCAACCTCCCTATGCAACTTCGCTCCTCCTCCCTACGCTACTCACTCCCAGGGTCACACCTTGTGTCAACCTACTAGGACTGACATAGTGACACACCACAGACTGGGTGACTTGAACAAAAGACACTTATTTTCTCACAGTTCTGGAGGCCAGAAGGCCAAGGTCAAGTCAGATTTGTAGATTATGTGCCAATCTGTGTTGGCAGATTGGTTTCTCCTGGGACCTTTCTCTCTTTGGCTTGCAGATAGCCACCTCTCACTGTGTGCTCACATGGTCTTTTCTCTTTGCACTCCTGGAATCCCTTTGTGTGTCCATATTTCCTTTTATAAGGGCACTAATCTGATTGGATTAACCCTACCATGCTGGCCTCATCTTAAATTCATTGCTTCTTTAAAGGCCCTATCCAAATATAGTCCCATTTGAGATGATGGGGGGTTAGAGCTTCAACATATGCATTTAAGAGAGATACAATCAGCCCGTAACATACCTCCAGACTTTTTCTTCACCTATTCCTGAAACATGTCTAAAATCTCAAATTCCAGCATCACGCTTCTCAATCACTACCTCCTCTCTTTCTAGCTCTCTCTGTGTGATACCTAAAACAAGTAATTTTCCAACCACACTGGCACACACAATTTACAAATTCAATGCCTCTTTTACTGTTTCTCACTCCCTCTCATGTCCTTACTTCCCTCCTTACTCAGCTTGAGCTCAACAGTCCATCGCTGTAACCATTCACTTGTATACATTATTGAATCCTTTGCATATCCCTCTCTTCGTGGTATCTGCGTGGCAAAGTCCCAATCCTGGTTGACTCCAGCTTTCTTTTTAATTCCTGGCTACACATCTGCCACTGAACCTTGCTAGAAAAATATCCAAGTCTGTTGTCTAGTCTCACCATCCATTCACGGTCACAGACTCAAGTTGTCCCTCAGCATCTGCCACATTTCTCTAAGATTAGAGAAATGGTTCACTATTCCACTTTCCAAGCCAACTGTTTGAACTTCTCTCTTTCTCTAAACATTTAAGACCCTCTCACCATCCTCATTCTCAGCTGATAAAATTGCTTCCTCTTGCACTGAGAACGCAGAGGTATAATAATCAGAAGTTTCTGCTAACCACCTCCAGGCCCATTGCCATGTCCTCCTTCTGCTGCTGACACTGACCTGCCCTGCTGCCATCTAAGGTCAGCGCCTCCATCTGTGCACACACTCCTATCCTTTCTCACCTACTCAAGGACCCTGTGCCAGCAATTCTGTCCTTTATCTCCTGTATGGTAAATACCTACCTCCCCTCCCTCATCCCCGCACCCACAACGGTATACATATATGCTACCATTTTTCCCATTAATTTTTTCCCCTTGACTTCTACTTTCTTCCAGCTACTGCCCCATTTCTCTGCTCTACTTTACAGCAAAACTCTCCAAAAGAGTTACTTCTTCTATTTCCAAAATTTCTCTCCTCCCATTCTCTCATAAACCCACTCCAGCTGGACTCTCATCTCATCTCTAGCTCACCAAGAAAGCTCCTCTTATCAAGGCCATCAGGGGCCTCCACAGTAGCCAATCTCAGTAGCCTCATCCCAGTAGCCAATTCTCAGTTCTTTCAGATGATGTGCCCTTCGGCAGTATATAATGTAGTTGATCACGCCGCCTTCTTAAAAAGTCAACTTCAAGAATAAACTCCTGGTCTTCATTTCTGATTCACTGGCTATTTCTCAGTATCCTTTACTACCTTCCTCTCATGTCCCCAAACTCAGTCCTGGTGCCTGTTTTCTATCGACATGAATTTCCTTAGTGTCTCATGGTTATAAATACTATTTATATGCTGACAACTCTTATATTCGTATGTCGCCCAAACTTCTTCCTTGAACTTCATATTTGTATATCCTCCCACCTAACTGGCATTTCCACTTGGATTTCTAATCCGTATTTCAAAATTTAGTATGTTTGAAGCTGATCGTGTCATCAGTCTTCTCCCAATCCTGCTCATCCAGCTGACTTGCTCATTTCTGGTAATGACAACTTTATTCTCCCAGTTTCTCAGGCCCAGATTATGCTGCCTTTGACTTCTCTCTTTGTCTTATACCCACATCCAATCTGCCACCAATCCTGCTGGCACTGGCTTCAAACTATACCCCAAATCCAGCTTCTTTTCATCACCTCTGCTGCCACTATCATCATGATCGGAGTGGTCCTCATCTCTTACCTGGGTGGTGGGCATGGCTTCAGAATTCATTTCCTTTGTCTCCTCCATACCCTTTACCACCTATTTACAACACAGCAGCCAGAGTGAACCTTTTAAAACATCAAGTACAGTGCCTGGCACATAAGAGATGCTCAATGAATATTCAATCAAAAATGTTATTCTCTTCCCAATCATCCCAGTAACTCTAGTAAATATAATTTTATGCTGCTTCTATGTGACTGGAAAAAAGATCTAATGCCCAGATTTCTTTCATGCACTAAGATCAAAAGCACTGGAGAGAGAAAAAAAATCATATCCACAAGGGGGTGCCAAGAAACCTCTTTGGAAGCTGGATAGCTAGTTTCTTTTTCTTTTCTTTTCTTTTTTCTTTTTCTTTTCTTTTCTTTTCTTTTTTTTTTGAAGCAAATTCTCACTCTGTCACCCAGGCTAGAGTGCAGTAGCCCAATCCTCCACCTCCCAGGTTCAAGCAATTCTCTTGCCTCAGCCTCTTGAGTAGCTGGGATTACAGGCACCCACCACCATACCCAACTAATTTTTGTATTTTTAGTAGAGTTGGGGTTTCACCATGTTGGCCAAGTTGGTCTTCAATTCCTGACCGCAGGTAATCCACCTGCCTCGGCCTCCAAAAGTTCTGGGATTACAGGTGTAAGCCACCGCACCCGGTCTACCTTTGTTTTCTTAGTAGTAGGAAAAATATGCATTTATTTCTGTTATTCGTTTTCAGAGAAGCAGAGATAATAGATGCAAACTCTTGGAAGGAAAGCTGTACTGATCTAACCAAGATATTTTGTTTTTCTCATCCACTAGTCCCTTTCTTAGTCCTTTCTGTTTCCCTTGCAATTTGAACAAGGCTTGGTGAATAGTGAGCACACAAAAAGCACACTGGGTGAACGACAGATACCTAAAGAGTGTAAAATCAGGACATTTTAACAAACCTATCCGGCTCTAAATATAAGCCCCCTTGGTAGTTTTCTCTTTAACCTTCTCTCTCCACTGTTGGATGAAATTTGCTACGTTCAATTCCAGTCCCCACCCCAACTTCCTTCTTAAAACAGGGTCAGGGTTAAGCCTTCAGTGCTTGAATCCAGAGGAAAATGATTTATTTTAAAAAGCAGCGAAAAACACCGGATTCCTTTGGCACAGGATGAAGACTAGCTCAGCTCTTCAGTTGTTGATCATTGTCTATTGTTCTCCAAACAGTAAACCACTATTTCACACTGAGATTGTTGGCTGCGGGTATATTCCAATTCCCTGGCTCCTCATGAATATGAAGTGAAGGGTGCTGACCCTGAAAGTGGTAGGTAATCTCAAAAAAAAAAAAAAAAGAAAGAAAGAAAGAAAGAGAGAAAGAAAGAAAGAAACGGTCAGGTAGGAGAAGAAAAATAGACTTTCTGTGACTGTATGCTCTTGAAATCTCCCGCAGGTTCTAAGCAGGGCAAAATGGGGTCTCGAAAGTGTGGAAGCTGCCTAAGTTGTCTGCTGATTCCGCTGGCACTTTGGAGTATAATTGTGAACATATTATTGTATTTCCCAAATGGGCAAACTTCCTATGCATCCAGCAATAAACTCACCAACTACGTGTGGTATTTTGAAGGAATCTGTTTCTCAGGCGTCATGGTAAGTGTGACTTTGGAGACTTGGGAGAGAAGGGGGAGTTGTTGTTGAGACTTACCTTGAACCTAGTAGAAATAATGAATACTGGAAAAATCATTCTGCTAATCTTGGGTGTAGGATTTGAAAGATGGAGGGGGAAGGGGCAGGTGATCTGCTAGGATTTGGGACATAGCTTTGTTTTCAATAAGCTGCTCAACAATGCAGCTTCGGTAATGCAGGAAGTCAGTCCTAATGAAAGTTTGTGGGACACTGACTTGTAAAAATAGTATGTTCTCATGAACCCTGCATATCAACTTAAGCTATTCGATCTTCAGTGGCATTACTGTTTTCTAGAATAGATTTTCTGTCTGTGCTCATGTTTTTCTAGCTTGAAGGGGCGTTAGGATAGCATGAAAAAAAGCAGAGACTTGGATATTCAGACAAACCTGCATGTAAATCTATGCTCTGTCATTTGTGCCATGAGACCTTTGGCAACTTACTCAGTATCTTTGAGTCTTAGTGTTCTAATGTGAAAAATGTGAATAATGGCATTTACTTTTCAAGGTAAAATATATATATAGATAAAGTACCCAGGAGAGAGACTGACATGCAGTAGATAGCCAGTGACTGTTGTAATTATATTATTATTAAAAAATGAGCTGTGTCATCATTAAATAGTCCCACATTGAGACCCTCATAATGGAGGGAGTGTTTGAAAAGTAAATTGAATTATCAACAGTAACCCATGAACACTTTCCTGATGACTTTGTGCTCTTTAAAAATAAACAAACTGATAGTAAATCATGTTGGCAACTCAGAGGAAAAGACACTTTTCCTGGTCAAGTCATTTCTAAAAATAACACATTATGGACTGTAAATGAATCAGACCACCAATAGTGTAGAAGAGATGTAGAAATAATCTATTTCTACATCTTTGTGGGGTGTTTAATTATTATATTTAATAGCTATGTTGTAAAGCAGTTTTCATTTAGTTATTCATTTTGCACATTAAATTAATAAACTTTAAAATGTTAATATCCAATGTTAGTGAAGTTGCTATGAAATAAGCACGCAACTAATGTTGGCTGAACCACCAAATAATGTCAGTCTTTTGGGTAAAAGTTTGGTATGATATACCAAAATCTATGAAAATGCTTCTGTCCTTTGACTCAGTAATCCTACCTCTCATCATCTATTCCAAAGAAATCACCCAAAACAATGAAACAGCTATGTGTACAGATGTTTGTGGCTGCATTGGTATGATAGTAAATAACTAGAATTATCTTACAGAGAAGTAACTAAATAAATTACAGTACATTCACTTCATGCAATGGTGAAAATTATAATTATGAAGATGTAACAACATGGAAAATGCACATTATTTCATATTAAGTGAAAAAAGACACAACAAAGTTGTGGGTAAATTACAATTGCAGCTGTGTCAAATATACATATATGGGAAAACACCAGAAATAAATACATGAAGACACATGATGGTGGTGGAATTATGTGTAATTTACCTCCATTATTCTTTTTTTTTTTTTTTTTTTTTTTTTTTTTTTTTTTTCCAAGCCAAACTGTATCCAGCTTTATTAAAGATACTTTCCATAAACAATCATGGTATTTCAGGCAGGACATGGGCAGACAATCATTAACAGTATACAACAACTTTCAAACTCCCTTCTTTGATGGACTACCAAAAATCAGAAAGCCACTATAAAACCCAATGAAGTCTTCATCTGATGCTCTGAACAGGGAAAGTTTAGAGTGAGGGTTGACATTTCACATTTAGCATGTTGTTTAACAACTTTTCACGAGCCGACCCTGACTTTCAGGAAGTGAAATGAAAATGGCAGAATAATCTTCAGATAAGAAGATTCACAATCTAGAAATGGAATCACTGCTCTTTTGACAGGTGCCATCTCAGTGGCATCACTGGCAAGTCCAGATTGCCTGACACACTGGTAACCAATGACTGGGGGTCAGGTCCCAACAGATGTCTGGGCTTAAGGGAGTTAAGTCTATGCTGAAAGACGGAAAGGGAGAAGAGGACATAAAAATGAATTTGTTTTTCCATACCACAAGGCTTTTGTGTGCCAAGGTGGCCATGTGTGTCAAAGTCAGGGAATCCCTCCTCCTGGGAGCCAAGAGGAAGTCTCTCAAAACTAGAAGGGAAAGGCGTTTCCCCACATCAATCCAGCTTTGGAGACATTCTATTAGTGACATATGCCCCTTCCCCCAAAACAACAATGAAGTGTTCTGTGTGCTAACAACATAGCTTAAAAAAAAAAAAAAAGTAAAACAAAATTCTGCATTTTTATAAAACTTGATAAAAAATAGTATTTCAAACTGTACAGTCACCAGAAGTACACAGTTATCAAAAATGCACACACTTCACTTGGCATCTCCAGCACCTTCGGCTTTCTGTGCCTGGTCTGTTTTGGCATCTCCATTTTCTGCAGGGTTATTCCCTTCCTTGCCAGCATCAGCTTTTCCCTTTTTCCCTTTGGGTACCTTCTCTCCCTTCTTTGCAGGGGCCTTTTTAGGCTTGGGCTCTGGCTTTGGAGGAGCAGGTTTAGCAGACAACCTCGCGGATCTTCTCTGTGGTTCGTCCTTCACCTTGGCTTTATCTCCTTTAGCATCCCCTTCAGCCTTTCTCTTGGGCATGGTGGCGACGGCGGCGGGACGTAGGCGCTGAGCGCGGGATGCAGCGGCGCGTGGGCTTTGGTCGGTCCGGGGGTCGCTCTCGCCTCTTCTTCTTCACACTGCTCCCTCCATTATTCTTGACTCTTCTACACTGCAGTTATATTTTTAAACCACAAAAATAAGGCAGTTTCTCCTTCAACAGTTGATACCTGAGCAATAAGACTACAGGATCTAGGTCTAATTATCTCTATCAATATTGTAATGAAGCTGGTTACTATGCTTTGGCCTTATCTCATCATTGTTTCCCTCAATATGCAATTGTAATAAATAGAAGAGTGGCAAGACATAAATAAGATTAGGCTAGAATTTATTTCAATCTGTGAGAACTAACGATGCTGAAAGGAGAGGAATATAGGACACTTTTGCTTATGTTCCATGTAAAAATTAAAACTAGGAAAGGAAACCTGTTCTCTATTTTTTTTTTCATTTTCCAGGAATTATTAAAATATATTACCATAACTGCATCAAATCCTTTTAGGAGAAAGGAGAAGAATATAGATAAATAATTAAATGAACCAAAAAATTAATGAAAGCTGAAGAAATTTGGAAACTAGAAATGTTGGCTATGAAGAGTAAAATAACAGTGAACTCAGCTGTAAGATTCAGTCCTGAATAGTAAGAGTGAAAAAATGGGTGGAGAATTTCCCATAAGCAATTCATGGTCCATAATCTAGCCTAACCAGAAATTATAATGGTAAAGAAATTCATGTTCTAGCTCTAGCCTTTTGCCTAAAATACAAAAAAAGAAAGAAAGAAAGAAAAAGAAAGAAAGAAAGAAAGAGAGAGAGAGAGAGAGAGAAAGAAAGAAAGAAAGAAAGAAAGAAAGAAAGAAAGAAAGAAAGGAAGGAAGAAAGAAAGAAAGAAAGGAAGGAAGAAAGAAAAGATAGAAAAGAAAATAGAATTCATCGAATTCTCCCACTTTGTTGGCTTGATACAGACAAAGCACACTGAAACAATTTAAACCTGAGATGGTTTGAATACATGGGGAAATTGAACTCACTTTAAAGAGATATGTTTTCCAATTATCTGAGCCTCTCACCTCCATTCCTGGAGGACAGTAAATGAAGAGAGGCTAGCAAACTATAAAGTCTGGTGAATGATTTTCCTTGGGTCACTACAACTGAGTCATAGAGAAAGGCAGGGTGGTATTCTCATGTTCATACCATTTACTTCTCCTTAATCATTAGCGTTCGATGGCTGGTAACCATGATAATAATAGTCAACATTTATCAGTCACTTACTATGAGTCAGCCACTATACTCAAAAGGTCACATATATTACCTCATAACAACCTCTTGATAACATTTCATAGAGAAGGAGTCTCAAATTTATACAGCTGGAAAGTGGCAGGGCTTGGATTCAAACCCAGATCTACCTGACCCCAGAATCTATGCTTGAAGTCACCGTCCTCTGATTATAAACACAAATGTAAACCAGCATTTCATTACTAACATTTTATCTCTTCCCTCCTATAGATGCTTATAGTAACAACAGTTCTTCTGGTACTGGAGAATAATAACAAATATAAATGTTGCCAGAGTGAAAACTGCGGCAAAAAATATGTGGTAAGAGCAATGGTTTTTTTGAGGATGGTTGAGTGGGCTCCAACTTTCTTTCCTGTCACTCAGAAACACAAAAATATTGACAGTATTGTACCCTCACTACTGTACCCTATCAGTACAGAGAAGAGTTTACTGCCAAGATTATCTTTCATTTTGCCTAGTCTTTCCCCCACCTTTGTTCTACTGATGCTCTTTTGGAAAATCAGGATTTAAAGATACATAAAATTAGGAAGTAATACTTTTTCCTAACGGAGTTTCTGTTAGTATATTTTTTCTTTATAAACTTTATTAAGGGCTAATTTACATATAATAAATGGCATCCATTAAAATTATGCAATATCATGAGTTTGAACTGTTGACTACACCCATGAAACCACAATTGCAGTCAAGATAACAGAGTATTTCTGCCAACTTCAAAAGATTAACCTTTGATTTACTTTTTGTCATTATAGAGTAGCTTGTATTTTATATATGTGGAATCATACAGTATTTGTCTTTTTTATCTGGCTTTTTTCATCCAGGATAATTTTTAGATTCATCCATGTTGTTGGGTGTAGGTGATATGCATTTTTTAAATTGGCACTTTAAAAAAAATAGTATCAGGGAGAATAATACAAACAGATTTTCTCTTTTTTCTTGTTTTCTTTTTTCTTTCTTTCTTTCTTTTTCTTTTTTTTTTTTGAGATGGAGTCTCCCTCTGTTACCCAGGCTGGAGTGGAGTGCAGTGGCACAATCTTGGCACACTGCAAACTCCACCTCCCGGGTTCAAGCAATGCTCCTGCCTCAGCCTCCTGAGTAGCTGGGACTACAGATGCACGCCATCATGCCAGGCTAATTTTTGTATTTTTAGTACAGACAACGTTTTGCTGTGTTAGCCAGGATGGTCTCAATCTCCTGACCTCGTGATCCACCTGCCTTGACGTCCCAACGTGCTGGGATTACGGGCGTGAGCTCCCTCGCCCGGACACAATTAAATTTTTTAAGCCAGGACACAGGGAGGGGAGCATCACCCACTGGATGGGGTCTGTTGGCAGGAGCTAGGAAAGAGACAGCAGGGGGTGGGGAGGGATAACATGGGGAGAAATGCCAGATATAAGTGATGGGGTGACGGAGGCTGCAAACCACATTCCCATGTATGTACCTATGCAACAATCTGCATGATCTGCACATGTATCCCAGAACCTAAGGTACAATAAAAAAAGTCATAAAAAAAAAGAATAGAAGTCTCAATTAAAATGCCCCCCAGAAGCCACATGTGTGATATAAATGAATGAAATGAATCTGGTAGGCATCAGAGCACAATTTCCACCCAAAGAGGGGAAGGAGCTGCTATTCAAATCCAGCCAGTTGTCTCCATGATGAAGTGGGCAATAATTCTCAGTTTTCAGTAGAAAGTAAAAATATGGATTTCTGTGTAAAACTTTTCAATTGTAAAATATTGGCAGTTAATCTTCATTTAAACCAAACAAAGTACATCTTGCAGGAAAATTTGAGTCTGCATCAGTTTGTAACTTCCGAAATGTAATGAAAGTTGATTCACTTATTGGCTGTTATCTGCTATGGCCTGCATGTGTTCCTCCAAAATTCACATGGAAACCTAATTCTTACCATGGCGGTATTAAGAGGTGGGACGTTTTTGGATGTGACTAAGTTATGATGGCTATTCCCTCATGAATGAGGCTGGTGCCCTTATAAAAGGGGTTGAGGGGAGCACTCTTAAACCCTTTGCACCATGAGAGGACACATAGAAGGTGCCATCTATGAGGAATGGGCCCTCACCAGACACTGAATCTGCCAGTGATCTTGGACTTTCCAGCCTCCAGAAGTGTAAATAATAAAATTCTATTGTTAATTACTCAGTCTAAGCTATTTTTGTTATAGCAGCAGGAACTAAGATATTATCCATTCCTACATGGAGTCTGGTTTTCTGCCAAAATTCTTAGACAATTATTCCTGGAAAGGAAATATTGGCTCAATAAGGGCACTTGGAATCATAGCTAATATTTTATTATATTTTATTTTTGAAATCACCCTGTTACATAGGTGCTATTCCTGTCGACGTCATCTACAGTTTACAGAAAATAAAACTATGATTCAGATTCTTCCAAAAACACATTTTGGGCATATCACTTCCTTGCTCAAAAACCAATTACAATACTTGTTTAAAAAACAGCTTCTGGTTGGGCACAGTGGCTCATGCCTGTAATCCCAGCACTTTGGGAGGCCAAGGTGGGCAGATCACCTGAGGTCAGGAGTTTGAGACCAGCCTGGCCAACATGGTGAAAGTCCATCTCTACTAAAAATACAAAAATTAGCTAGGGAGTCTGTAATCCCAGCTACTTAGGAGGCTGAGGCAGGAGAATCACTTGAACCCAAGAGTTGGAGGTTGTAGTGAGCCAAGATCAGGCCACTGCAGTCCAGCCTGGGTGACAGAGTGAGACTGCATCTCAAAACAACAACAAAGAGAAAAAACGACAAAACCCCAGCTTCTTCCAGGTTTACGAAGGAATAAGCTCAAAATGAACCTGGAACATCTTGTACCAGAAAGCAAGAACATGCTCAAAGAATGACAGGAGTGTGTCAAAGGGCATAGGAGTTGACCTACAGGGATATTCCCACTGGCCAAATTTGGACTATCTGTACATCTAAAAGTATAATAGCATTTATGGATTATAGTTTAGTGAATTAGAAGCTCCATGAGTCCAGATAACATAGAGAGAGGCACAGGAGAGTGAAATGGGAACGGAAGTTGTCCTGTGCAGAAAAATGTGACACAAATGGAGAGAAATGGCAGCATTATGAAAGCACGGCATTGGAATCCCAGTGATCACTGGTAATCAATGAATATGAGGATCTCAGTGGATGCTAAATCCATTAGTTGAAATGTTATTAAGAAACAGAATATGACACTGTCTCAATGCATTATGTTGGCAGCTATTTATTAATTGCAAGTGGAAAATGTACCTTTCCAGGGGAGAGATTTGAAGGACATCTTTAACCAAGAGATCAAACTTAGCACCACCCTTAGCATGAGAGGCCCACAATGTACACCACACCCATTAAGTATACTCGCTAACATTTTTGAATTCAATTGTGAGAAAATAATCAGAAAAACCCAGAATGTGAGATATTCTACAAGATAACTGTCTGAGATTCTTTAAAAAAGTTGAACAGCCCAAAAAACAAAAAGGAAGAATTAAACTAAAGAGATATAATCTTGTACATAAACCTTTATTGGATCCTGTACAAAAACGTTTAAAGCTACAAAATAATAGAATATTTTTATTCTTAGAAGATGTATGCTGATATATTTAGGGGTGAAATATCATAATGCCTGCAACCTACTTTCAAATGGCTCAGTAACAAAAGCATTTAATAAATACACAGGTGTATACATATGAACAGGTGTATATATATACTTTGCACGAGTATGTACACACAGAGAACGGAGAAAGCAAAAACAAATATGGTAAAATATTCACTTAGGTGATTCTAGGTAAAGGGTATGTAGGGATTTATTGTACTATACTTTCAAATTTTTTGTAGATTTGAAATTTTCTAAATGAAAGGTTGTGGGGAGGGAAGCCCCTTGCCCAGAAGGATAAAGTCCAGATTCCTTGATCTGGCATTCAAGGCCAGCTCTGGCCTGGATCTACCAAGCTGTACTCACTTTTTAAGCTACTCAAGAGCATAACTGTGTCCTGTCAACCTTGTTTTCCCAGCTTTAGTACGATGTCACTCTGTCTTCAGAACCTTTCTCCTCACTCATCTGAATAAACCCTTCTTAGATTAAACCTATTTTCTCACAGCTCTGCTTGCACTGATCTGCCTGTAAATATTACCCATTCTCTCTACTCAAATGAAAACACCCCCCTCCATCAATTCTACCCTCACTTGAATGTGTGTATAAATACTGAGGTTACACCTGATATTTTCCTTTATATTCTTGTAAATATATTAAGATATCTTTACCAGAGGAAAGCAGAGGTCATAGCTTGTAATTCTTAGAGAACCCACCCTACCTAGAAAATAGCAGTTCATCAATAAATAGTTATGGGTTGATTGATCACATCCTTCACTGCATTTTTATAAGAGGTGATCATTATTTTAATATCAAAATTCCAAAAAGAAAAAATAAATTTAGTAAATTACCTACTTACCTCTGTGTGATGCCAAACAAAAGGTTATTTAAAAACTTATTTTTAAGACCAAATAGGTTTGGATTACTTTTGTTTTTATTTGTATGTGGGCATTTAGTATTGCATAGACTGCATGAGCTTGGATGAATAGCGGAATGTAGCTTTCTGATAATTTATCCACAATCTCCCCTTGTCGCATTCTATGGCACTAACCTGCTACTCTATTTTAATTTAGACACTGCTGTCAATTATCTTTTCTTCCCTTGGAATTGCCTTTTCTGGATACTGCCTGGTCATCTCTGCCTTGGGCCTTGTCCAGGGCCCATATTGCCGCACCCTCAATGGCTGGGAGTATGCTTTTGAAGGCTCTGCTGGACGGTAAGGAATAATTCCCCAAGCCAAGGAGGTCAGAAAATCAGAAATACCTGGCCTCATGCCCATGCTCACAGTTATTTTCAGTGATGACTTTGGGGTTCCATGTGGCTGTTTTAGTGCAGAATGTTCCTATTAGTTTACCAATATCCAGACCAATTTGTTCTTACGTGGATCTTTGTTTAGATTTTTTTCTTCAGTCTTTTAATGCCATTTTCATTCAATGTCTTGAGGCTGTCATGGAGATATCCAAATGAAAGGTGTGTTCTCCCATACTTCAGATTAAAGTTGTGTGATTACTATGGTCTGGTAACAGCTGGAGCTTATGGCCTGGGTGGTTCCAGCAACTCAATTTTGTTTTAGGCCAGGTTGGATGTGTGGTTTGTTACAAGTGTGAAAGGGCTTGAGGAGGAGAGAAACCATGGTGCTCTTGAACAGTGCCACTCAGGGCTGTACTAGGAAGCATGATAAAGAGATAGAATCAGGCAGGGTGAGCAGGGAAATACAGTCTGAGATCTAGGAACATGATTAGGTACAGGAGTTTGTGGAATTAGCAGAGCGTATGCAGCTTATACTAGAGAAGGATCTAAAGAGGTAACCTTGCTCAGAAAACTAGTAATTTAGTCATGAGCCTCGCAACCCAATCCTGGATCTCAGAATGCCTCACACTGGCCTTGTGCTGGGTGTATTGGGTTCCCGGCACCAGATGCAGATTAGGAGGTAGCAGGGCCCAGAAATAAACACAGGAGAGGTCCATTGAATCTCTCCTTGTTTTTAGCCTGTGCTCAAAATTCTAATGGCGTAAAATGAGGGAGTGTTTGTACCATTCGCTGGGGGAAGTTATATTTTCTTCTCAACTCTCCATGATTGGCTTTATTTGTTCAAGGCCTATGTCTATCTGAGATCTTACACGTGCATCTAGGCCTGCATGGCCATAGCTGCTTCTGTGCCTATAGCTGCCTTCATTCAGAAGATTTTACATGGTGCCACATACCATGACCTCTTTTAGTAAACATGACTCTCCCTCAGGTCAGGAAACCTAGACAATAACTTCAGACCTTCCTGAGCAATTGGAGGAGACACTCTTGTGGAATTGACAGGGCTCAGTAAAGAGGACTCTAATATAGAAATTCCCATTGGGTGCAAAAGACCCCTTTTTAACACCATCGGCCCCTGAGCTTTTTCTTACTCAAAACCAAAACCTTCCTCTTTTTTTTTTTGAGACAGAGTTTCACTCTTGTTGGCCTTGCTGGAGTGCAATGGTGCGATCTTGGTGACTTCCACCTCCCGAGTTCAAGCGATTCTCCTGCCTCAGCATTCTGAGTGGCTGGGATTACAGGCATGCACCACCATACACTGCTAATTTTGTATTTTTAGTAGAGACAGGGTTTCTCCATGTTGGTCAAGCTGGTCTCGAACTCCTGACCTCAGGTGATCTGCCTGCCTCAGCCTCCCAAAGTGCTGGGATTACAGGTGTGAGCCACTGCACCAGGCCAAAACCTCCCCTTTTAAGTCATGACTCTCTAGGCTGCCCATATGCCCCTCCATTACTCCCTTAAGCTGCCTCAGAGGCTTTTTTTCACCTGTTTCCATCTATATAAAAATGTTTCAAGGTGAAACATTGATTGGAGGCAACACAGGGAAGCTAAGTCTCTGGTCCCCTCAAGAAGTTTCCAAGGCTTGACAAATACAGGGTGGGGCAGGTGTTAATACTGAATTGTCATATCAGTTATTCATTTGTGCATTTATTCAGCAAATATTCATTGAGCACTGACTAGGTCTCTAGGCCTCGCAATAAGAGCTGGAGCATCAGAGGCAAACCACAGACAGTCCGTTCCCTCCAGGAACTCATACAGACCTGACAGAACATTCTACTAAGATGGAAACCTTAAGGTGAATGAACATTGGCCTTGGAGCACAAGTGTTTGATGGTTATAGATTGAAATTTAAGTCCCTCCCTCCTACTTATAAAGCTCCACGATCTTAGACAATTATCTGGCTATCTCTGAGCTTCTGTAAGTTGGAAACAAGAATCACTTCTATCTCATAGAATTTAGAATTAAATGGAAGTAATGCACAAATGTGATGTGATAAATGTTCAGGTTTTATTATTAACAGGTGACATTCCCCACCTGCCAGGTAGCCGACAGATTTAGTCACTGGCATGGTGGCTGGTAAGGATCCTGAATTTGTTTTCATCCAACAAATACTTACTGATCTTTACAACTTGTCAAGCACGACCTTAGAGTTTAGAGCTGGCCCTTCAGAGATGAGCAAAACATGGTCAGTGCTCTCAGAGTACAGTCTGCTAAGGGAATAAAAATAGTTGCAGATACAGATACAGCCACAGATAGATATAAAGATACAGATAGAATTACAACAAATGAAGTCAGTGCTGTCATAGAGTCATAGAGCAGTGTGTGGAGGTAGTGGAGGGAGTGGGTGTCAGGGCAAGCTTCTCTGTTCCTCCCCAACCCTGCCAGAGCACTTATGCCTTTCTGCAGTTTACAAGAAGGATAAACAGTACCATAGTCTGGAGAAAAGCAGAAGCCCTGCAAGTCGTCTTGTTTTACACTGCTACATGATCTGTGCAAAGCATGTACTAGGAACAATATAGAAAAAGGGTCTGGAGGGACTCACTTCCCTGGTGGCTGAGACAGTGATAGGGGTAAATAGGATATGAGATAGATCTAGGGAAATTTAACAGAAAACCACTGTTACTGTACTTTACAGGTTCCAAACCATTTTTATACACTCTTACCAAATATTCACAATAACTCTAAAGTTAGATATTTTAACCCCCTTATTAAGATAAGACTCTGGAGGCCAGCGGGATCAAGTTCTTTGCTCAATATCCTACAGATCCAGGAATTCTGATTTCATATTCAGTGCTCTTTCCTGTTGGAGACAAGGACCATTAACAATATCAAGAAATTCCCAAAATGCCTTTATTTCCTGGAGCATTAGAGAGTAGGAAATAAATAAAGGTGGGGAAAGAGTGAAAAAAAAGGAAGCAGGAAAGAAATGGAAGAGGAGGAAGAAAAATGAAGAGGAGAGGTCATGGGAGTGGTAAGGCAGGCGCCACATTTACAATAAACTAAGTGTCTAGCTCAGTGCTATGCATATCATGTGTCCAAAATGTGTATCTGAATGGTTTTTAAAATATTTTAACTTGTATCTAATAACAAATTATCTATACAATTTGTTATCTATATAATTTGTTATCTGTGTATCTACATATTTTAATCATACAGTAATTTCTCAAACATGTAAATACCTGTAGCTTTCTTCCTTGGACCCAGTATGTAGATTTGGCCATGGGTCTCTCTCTCAGTTTCCTTACAGATTCCAGCATATGGATTCAGTGCCTGGAACCTGCACATGTTGTGGAGTGGAACATCATTTTATTTTCCATTCTTATAAGCCTCAGTGGGCTTCAAGCGATCATCTGCCTCATCAGAGTAGTCATTCAATTATCCAAGATACTGTGTGGAAGCTATTCAGTGATCATCCAGGTAAGAGATTCTCATGGGCACCTGTATGTAGCTCTTCCATATTACTCCCACTTTCCAGGATTCAATGAATCTTGTTAAAAAGACTTCAGAATTCCATCATCCACCCCCCCCATTTCTACTACCCTTTACTCAAGCTCTAATATCTCAGTTTTTTCTGATATCCCAATGTGTCTTGGCTTATCTATATGGGTTGAATCAACTCAGTAATTGTAAAATCTGCATTTCTTATTGTATGGTAAGACTTCATAAATGTTTTGAATGAGCAATGTTTTAGTATTCTATGTAGTGATAACCCAAAGCATAAAGAAGTTTTACCATTTATCAAGAATTTTCCTGTTCATAAGATAAGCAAAGGCTCAGAACCTTATCTCAATGAAATAACGTCTCTTCTGAATGCGCTACATTCAACTAATAAACCTTTATCTTGAGTGCATAGTGAGTGCTTTTGAAGAAGGGAAATATCTCTTTATCCTATTGAAACTACTTCTACTTCATCTCCTAAAATACTAATGTTAATTTAGTTATGGTTGAAACTATTATCAACAAGTCCAGAGTGAAGAAAAATCATGAATGAGATCTCTTGTATTTTGTTTAACAACACAGAATGTGTAATACCTTTCCTAGCAATTTCAAATAGATGTTTTTCTGTTCTATCACATTTTGAATATGAAATGTAAGTTTAAGTTGCTATCTGGATTGTGGATTACTAATCAAGCCAAATTTGTAACTTTAATCACTTTGTTTTTCCTTTTTCTCTGTAGCCTGGAATCATTTGAATAAGGACAAAAGTGTTTTCCAGTATCAAGACACAGCCATCTATCTAAATCTTATACCAACTGCGTAGACTTGAGGACAATATTGAAATGATGGTGCTTTTTCCATTTGGTGTTTATTTGTGAAATTTGCAGTCCTCACTGCACGTGCAAGTATGCCACCCTTCCTCTATTTAGAATGCTTTTTTAAGTAATGTTATATATCACATGACCCTTATGCTGTGGGCCATTAGGAACTTCAGAAATACTTATATCCTTTGATCAAACAAATCCATTTCTAAAAATTTATATTAGGGAAGTAAATAAGAATATGAGAGAAGAATTTATGCAAATATGTATGTTGCAACATTATTTAATATTAAAAACACTCCAAAATTCTAAACTTAGAGGAAGGTATAAGAGTGGGAAATACTGTGAATGCTTTCTGATATTAAAAAATTAAATAAAAAATAAAGAGTGCTATGTGGTTGTAAAATCATAGTCATTACAAATGATGTTTTAAAAATTACAAATAATGCTACATCAAAAATCAGGTTACAAATTAATGTTTACAGTATAACTATTTAAAGGAAATGAAACACTAATAATCAAAATTTAGGATGAAAACTAAATCTAAGAGGAAATATAACACAATGCCAACTATGCTAGATTTGGGGCATTGATGATCCTTCTTCCCACTTTTCTATACATTCCAATATTTCTTTATTGAATATGTTTTAATGAAAATATTCTCTAAACTCATATTTTCACTATTAAATTTCTTTTTTATTTTTCCAAACTTTAAGGCATATGCTCTTTCCACATTCCTCAACATTATTTGTAAACATCATGGAATGACACTTCCATCAACATTCAGTGAGGAAGTAGTGATACAGATAAGCCAAAAAGAGTTTTATATAAGCTTATACAGTCAAACTAAACTCTTGCTCTTCCTTTCTGACTCCTGATGATGAGTGTGATGGACTAGAAGAGGTAGTCTTAAAATAAGTGAGCAACTAGGGAACATGCTCAATGGTCAAGAGAAAATGACCACTGACCAGTCGATAGCTGTGTCATGGGGAGTTACCAGTATCTATATTTATTTTTAAGTAATTAAAAAGTAGAACATTTACAAACTTTCCACCTACACATGCCATGACTTCCTCGTGGACAGTAGCCACATCTTATAAATTTTTCCACCATCCATAGGACCCAGCACACAGTGGACCCAGTAGGCACTCAGTGTTGAATGCTCATACCAGGTTTTCTGCTTCTTATAATTTACCCTGCTGAGCACTGCTTACATCACAGGTGCACTGGGCCTCAACACTTCTGCCATTTCCCTATTTGTCTCCTCCATGGACACTGTTAACAACGGTCTGCCAACACTTGATCTGTGCCAAAGCCAGAAAGTAGGCTAGGGGGATGTGGGAGAGAACGTCTTTCTCCTTGCTGTCTGCTGTGCCAACCTTCAGGTGCCAACCAAAGCGCCTTTCACAGCCTTTGCTGAAACTAGCATCTTGAAAGCAAGCCATGCCCTCATGTTCTGGGTTCAGCTGATTGAACTGGGACAGACCCCAGAGTCATGGACAGCCTCTTGTCTTCCCAGTGGCTTCTGACTTAGCCTGGAGCAAAACACTGTACAAACAAGACTGGTGGTTATTCAAGCATCAGAATTTGAACTAGGAAGCTAAGAATGAAGCAACCTGAACATTGCCGCAAGAAATGATTAAAGGATAAAGAAGGAAGCCAACATAGAGAGAGTATCTGGTTCATCTTAATAATGGTATCATATTAAAAGGAGGATATGTGAACTTCTGCTCCAAAGCTTCCTAAAACTGCCTTTGCCCACAATGAACAGTGACAATATACACTAGGCCTGGTTTCTACTCTTGGATTTCTAGATAGTCTTTCTTCTTTGTCACTGTGCTGATCATTTCAGTAACCCCCACCACTGAATCAGTGCAGCTCTGTTTATTGCAACCAAAATGACCCAACCAAAGTTTCCCTTTTCTAGATGTTGGGTTGGAGGGATGCCAAGACAGAGATGCTTAAGCTCCAGAGTATTGCAGAGCTTCATTCAATAACTCTACTTTCCAAAGAACTTAAACATGAGGTCTGAGGGACTTGGGCCAGGAGACAAACCCAACCTACAGACACCATGTTGTACTCAGGGTGACCTCTCCCCTCTGACAGCCCAGGGTTTCTCTAGCAATCCCATAAGCTAGTCATATCCAGGACCATCTTGTCAAAAATTCTCTCAAAGTCTCCTCAGCGCTCTTGTAAACAGACTTCTAGCAGGTCCACTTCATCAGTTTACCAGATACTTTTGGACTGTCTATCTCTTGTTTAGATTCAGCATGGCACTATACATTGAATGGAATATTAATAGATGTTTGCCAAATGACTCCACCACAGCATTGGACATATCAGAGCTACAGCCAAATGCAGCATGATATCTCTATCAGGAAAATTAAATTTTAATATAGCCTTCAAATATTCTATATTTGAAGAGTATATGCTAATCATGTAATTTTAAGTTAAAAAAGCTGAATACAAAAAAGCTGAATATGCATGTTTTATATCCTTGTGAATTCAAAGGAAATAGGAAAAAAGAAAACACACACACACACACACACACACACATACGCACACACACATATATATATATATACATATATATGTACAGTTTGAGCCCAAATTTTTAATTAAGTAACCATATAATTACATGTAGACATGTATAAACCTTCAGATATGAAAAGACCAGAAAAATATTTAAAATGTAATAGTTACATTATCTGTGGTCATACCACCCTGAAAATGCCTAATATTGGAAGCTTCAGCAGGGTTGGACCAGGTTATTACTTGGATGGGAGACCAGATGCGACAGGCTGAAGAAAGAAAGCACAAGTATACAAAAGTTAATAATTATCACCCATTGATAGGATTATGACTTATATCTCTTTTTTTTACATTGTTCAGTATTTTCAAATTTTCTTTTGAAAATGTGTTATGTACTTAAATTACTAGAAAAAATAAATGTCATTTAAAAAGGAAATGTCCTCTAAGTCTGTCTGTAAAATTCATTTAAGGAGTTTAAAATAGAAAAATATATACAGGTGTTTGTGACTGGCCTTCTCTTACCCTTTCTAGAAATAATCTTTCTACTTTTTAATTCTGAGAGAGAGTATTACCAGCTAATCCTAACTGAGAATTATTTATATTTTATGCATTTCTGCACTTATTATTTATCTACTATTCTCTTTGTTTCTATCTCATTGTTATTTTTCTAACTTCTTAAATTGAATACCTAGCTTAATGATTTTCTAACTTTCTTTTTTTCTTAAAATAAGCATTTAAAATGACATTTTTCTTTAATTACCACTTTGGCTGACTCTCATAAACTTTAAATGTTGCATTTTCCTTGCTCAGTTATAAATATTTTCTAGTTTTCTTTATGATTTATTTTTTGATCCATGAGTTTTTAGATGTGATTTAAAAATTCCAGGTATACAGGTTTATGTTATGTTTTTATGCGTTTGAACTTAACTGTATTGTGATCATAGAAAATGGTCTGTATGATTCCAATAATTTGAAAGTTTTTAAGATTTATTTTATAGTTAATTTTTGTAAATGTTACATGTGCTGTAAAAGTATGTGTTTTCTCCAAATATCGAGGGCAGAATTCTATATGTGTACTAATATTAGATCAAGTTGTTAATTTTGTTCAGATCTTTAACAGTTTTTCTGTTTGGTTGTTTGCTTGATTTAGGGTTGCTGTGAGGAATAAATGAATATATATAATAATTTGTATACTTTTATTGATATGCATATCATAAAACTGTATTTGGCATGTGGATATGATTTATAGGTAGCCTATAGCATAGTGGAATAAAGATGTACTTTGGAGTCAAATTTCTTGCGTTCAAATCTGGACTCTGCCTTACTAGGTGTGTGACTTTGGTCAAGTTTACTTAACCTCTCTGTGCACAATTTCTGAGTCTGTTAAACAAGAATAATAATAGGGTTCTTGTAAAGATTGAGTTTGAACATGTAAAGTTCTTAGTGCCTGGGTGAGTTAAATCAGAACCCGGTACAGTTGGAGCAGATTTGGGATGGTGGGGACTTGGAAATGCCACAAAAACAACAGAAGGGAAAGGGAATGGAGAAAGCTCATAGGGATAGCAAAGAGTCAGCCATTTTGGGAGAGAAAGAGGTAAAGGCAGGCAGGCATTGCTAGACTAGACCAAGTGCACAAGAGGCCAGCACTTCCTTACCTTTTGTCGGAGACTGTGAGCTTAACAGACATCATACTCTGATTCTTAAAACCCCAGCCTCAGGTGGGGAGTTGGGGAGGGATAGCATGGGGAGAAATGCCAGATATAGGTGATGGGGAGGAAGACAGCAAACCACACTGCCCTGTGTGTACATATGCAACAATCTTACATGTTCTTCACATGTACCCCAAAATCTAAAATGCAATAAAAACGAACAAACAAGCAAAAACCCAGCCTCTAGCCTATACATTTCCATCCCTTTGGAAAGCTATAAGGAATTAGGGGATCTCCAAGTGTACTATTATGAAAACCATAACTATTTGTATTCAGAAAGACTCCTGCTAGCTCTGCTTCCTGCTTTGTGAGATGAAGCCGAAAATTAAGGAGAAGATTCCAGTTATAGAAGAACCGAGGTATATGGCAGGAAATTAAGTTAAGGAGTGAAGTTTGAGTGTGTGCAACTGGACAGGTAGGGCAAGATACAGAAACCTGGCCACTGAAATCTTTTTACTTTAGAAAGAGCATTGGATGTGGTGCCTGGCTACCCAGGTCAGAGATCACACCATGCCTAGTCCAAGGAACTTAATCATTTCAAATAAAATGTTTTATCTGGGTTAAGATGAAAACACACACACACACACACACACACACACACACACACCCCACCCTAATTTTACTCCTGCCTAAAATCACACTAAATTTACAATAAAAGTTGTTTGTTTTTAAGACACACAACCACAAATACAGGGAGACTAGGAAACATGTCAAAAGCAATGAAATTTTGGAAGCTACAAAACATATTGATGACAAGTAACTGACCAAACCAACTCAAGAAACACGAGAATCTTGAGTTGTCAGTAGGGGAAGCTGAAGGCTAACCTGATTTATATCTCAGAATTTTCCAGAGATTCTCAAATTGATAGTATCAGAGCCCTCTGGACCTGGAAGTGAAGGAAGACCCTTAAAACAGAAATTCTGTGCGTCCTGCATCCTTTTTCCTCTCTATGCCTCTGGGAAGTGACTGACATTTGAAAGTTCTCTGGGAAGCGTAAAAATTAGAGGGTCTTCTCTGAGTTGGAGGAAACTAGATTCACTAAAGATATGAAGACTGCTCCAAAATCAGAAGAAGTAAGTAACTGGTGTATCCTGAAGGATGAATGCTGAGGCACTCCTCCCACAAAGCCCTCTTAACCCACTCAGATCTCAGAAAGCTGGCAGCCATTCAGAGCTTGACCTTTCCAGCTGGAGACTCTCTCTAGGGAGTCTGGCCAGTGCAAAGGGAAAATTTAAATATTGGCTGTAATAGGCTAAATAATAGCCCCCACAAAATGCCATATCCTAATCCATGGGACCTGTGAATATGCTACACAGGAATGAATAAAAATGGATTTTCCAGGTGTGATTAAATTAAGGATCTTAAAATGGAGGCAAGGGTTATCCTGGATTATCCAGGGGAGTCCAGTGTCATCATACAGTCCTTACAGAGGCAGGTAACAGTATTAGATTGAGAGAGAAAAGATGTAAAGATGGAAGTAGGAACCAAAGAGAAGAGACGTTGCTACACTGCTGGCATTGAACATGAAGGAAGGGGCACAAACCAAGGAATGCAGCAGCCTCCAGTAACTGGAAAAGGCAAGGGAACAAATTCTCACCTAGAACCGCCAGAGCACAGGCCTGCCAACACCTTTATTTTAATCCAGTGAAACTGATTCTGGATTTTTGCTCTTTAGAATTGCAGATACTGCAGATAATTAATTTGTATTGTTTGATCACTAAGTCTGTGGTTATTTTTCACAGAAGCAATAAGAAACTAATATATTGGCATTTGAAATTCCTCAGTCAATGTTTCACCCAATTCACGCAACAGTGAAATTCAGAGTTAATAAGCTCAAAGCTCACTCTCAGTTCCCAAACAGCACTTTTCTTGACTCATGAGTAAGAGCAAACAGTCAAGTGTCCTAGACATCCGATGAAAAATACAGAACATGAAAGATAGAGAACCAATACGTTTTTATTTTTTAAATTTGTTTTCCATTTGAGTTTTAGATTTGGAGGTACATGTGCAGGTTTGTTATAAGAGTACATTGCATGATGCTGAGGTTGGGGCTGCTGCTGACTCCATCACCCAGTTAGTGAACATAGCACCCAACAGGAAGTTTTGCAGCCCTTGCCCCACTCTCTTCTTTCCTCCTCCTGGAGTCCCCAGTGTTTATTGTTTCCATCTTTATGTCTGAGTGAACCAAAGATTTAGTTCTCACTTATAAGTGAGAACACGCAATATTTGGTTTTCTGTTTCTGCATTAATTCACTTAGAATAATGGCCTCCAGCTGCATTCACCTTGCTGCAAAGGACATGAAATCACTTTTTTTAATGGCTGCATAGTGTTTCGTGGTATATATGTGCAACCGTTTCTTTATGCACTTTCCCATTGATAAACATTTATGATGTTCCATGTCTTTGTTATTGTAAATAGGGCTGCAATGAATGTACATGTGAACATGTTTTGTTATTTTCCTTTGGGTATATACCCAGTAATGGGATTGCTGTGTCAAATGATAGTTCTATTTTTAGTTCTTTGAGAAATTTCCTAACTGCTTTCCACAAGGATTGAACTAATATGCATTCCCACCAACAATGTATAAGCATTCCCTTTCCTCTGTGATCTCACCAATATCTGTTATTTTTTGACGTTTTAATAATAGCCATTCTGACTAGTGTGAGACGGTATCTCATTGTGTTTTGATTTGCATCTCTTTGATGATTAGTGATGTTGAGCACTTTTTCATATGTTTGTTGGCCACTTGTATGTCTTATTTTGAGAAGTGTCTGATCATGTCTTTGACCACTTTTAAGTGAGGTTTTTGGTTTTTTTTCTTGTTGATTCATTTAAGTTTCTTATAGATCCTGGACATTAGATTTTTGCCAGATGCATATTCTGAAAATATTTTCTCCCATTCTGTAGGTTGCCTGTTTTCCCTTTTGATGGTTTCTTTTGCTGTGCAGAAGCTCTTTAGTTTAATTAAGTCCCATTTGTCTATTTTTTATTTTGTTGCATTTGCTTTAAGGGTGTTCATCATAAATTATTTGCATAGACCAATGTCTAAAATAGTATTTCCTAGGTTTTCTTTTAGAATTTTTATAGTTTGAGGTCTTACATTTAAGTCTTTAATCCATTTTGCGTTAATTTTTGTATGTGGTGACAGTAAGAATCCAGTTTTATTATTCTGCATATGGTTAGCAAGTTATCCCAGCAGCATTAATTGAAGAGGG